AATGGTATCAACTCCTTCATCCTCTAGGAACTGCCAGCATACTCTCACCACATGAGGCCGGGCATTGTCGTGTACCAGGAGGAACCCAGGACCCACTGCACCAGAGTAGGGTCTGACAATGGGTCCAAGGAATTCATCCTGATACCTAATGGCAGTCAGGGTGCCATTGTCTAGCCTGTAGAGGTCTGTGCATCCCTCCATGGATATGCCTCGCCAGACTATCACTGACCCACCACCAAAACAGTCATGCTGAACGATGTTACAGGCAGTATAACATTCTCCACGGCTTCTCTAGACCCTTTCACATCTGTCACATGTGCTCAGGGTGAACCTGCTCTCATCTGTGAAAAGCACAGGGCGCCAGTGGTGGACCTGCCAATTCTGGTGTTCAATGGCAAGTGCCAATCGAGACCTATGGTGCTGGGCAGTGAGCACAGGGCCCACTAGAGGATGTCGGGCCCTCAGGCCACCCTCATGAAGTCTGTTTCTGATTGTTTGGTCAGAGACATTCACACCAGTGGCCTGCTGGAGGTCATTTTGAAGGGCTCTGGCAGTGCTCATCCTGTTCCTCCTTGCACAAAAGAGCAGATACCGGTCCTGCTGATGGGTTAAGGACATTCTACTGCCCTGTCCAGCTCTCCTAGAGTAACTGTCTGTGTCCTGATTTCTCCTCCATGCTCTTGAGACTGTGCTGGGAGACACAGCAAACCTTCTGGCAATGTCACATATTGATGTGCCATCCTGGCAGAGTTGGACTGCCTGTGCAACCTCTGTAGGGTCCAGGTATTGCCTAATACTACCAATATTGACACTGATCCTAGCCAAATGCAAAACTAGTGAAAAACAGAAAAAATGAGTAGGGAGAAATGTCAGTGGCCTCCACCTGTAAAATCATTCCTGTTTTGGGGGTCATCTCATTGTTGCCCATCTAGTGCACCTGTTGTTAATTTCATTAACACCAAAGCAGCTGAAACTGATTAACAACCCCCTCTGCTACTTAACTAACCAGATCAATATCCCAGGAGTTTATTTGACGTGATGCTATTGATTAAAAAGTGTTGCTTTAATTTTTGTGAGCAGTGTATATTGCAGCAATGTAAAAAAAAACTGATGTAGTATACCAAAGACATTAAGAATGTAAATGGAGAAAAGAGAAAATGAATGCAGATGAGCCTGCACCTGCTTTGCGGAGCCCCGGAGGTAAAATCTGCCTCCTTTTCTATGGATCTCTTTACAGGCGCTTGTTGACATTCTTAAGAGCCAGATGCCGAATCCAAACTTGGATAAATGTATTCTATTGATCTCACCTCCAGAAATGATAGCGACTAGGAAGAGCTACTTCTCGCTCATTGTACAACACTTGTAGGCGATGTTAAAAAAATGAACATGACAGGAGAGCAGAGGCCCCCTCTCAGGTGGGTTAGCACTAATCAGGAACACTTCTTTTTCCTAATGAAAACAGCCCAGGAACATCCGTCGGAGCTCCGGGTACCTGAAAGATGCACAGAGGTGCCGTCAGTGAGTTGTCACGGTGCGACGTGAGCATTAAAAGGAATAATTGCATGAATCACGCGAGTGTATCTTGTACGGGAAATCTCTGCAGTCATTTCAATGGAAGCAGGTGCATGATCTATATTTATCTAAGAGATTTAGACAAAGGGGGTGAAAGAGCCGTCTGATTTTTAATGAACAAAGCCATTGTCATTGGAGTTCAACCCATTATTTACGGATTTTTCCACCTCCCTAGGCTTGGGAAGTGCTAAATGGCACTGTAATGCCTTGTTGTTGTCACATGCAACCTGTATGGTTACATGAAGAATGGTTCGTATCAGGGACGGACTGACCATTTGGAAACTCGGGCACTGCCCGAGGGCCCGGGGTCAGTAGGGGGCCCCATGAGATGCCCCTGGTTCCTTTTTCATAGGCTTTTTTGAGTTTGGGCAAGGACACAGGGGCCCCATGATCCCCTATTGCCCGGGGGTCCCATGAGTTGTCAGTCCGCCCCTGGTTCGTATATGAATGAATGCATTGAAGCCTAAGTTCAGTTTGTTTCTTTCTAAAATCAGTACAAGGGACCAGGGGCGGACTGACAACTCATGGGCCCCCAGGCAATAGGGGATCATGGGGCCCCTGTGTCCTTGCCCAAACTCAAAAAAGCCTATGAAAAAGGCACCAGGGACATCCCATGGGGCTCCCTACTTGACCCTCGGGCAATGCACGAGTTTACAAATGGTCAGTCCACCCCTGCAAGGGACAGTACTTGCGGGGGGGGTCAGCAACCAGTAAATCGTGATCTACCAGTAGATATAGGCCAGGTGACCAGCAGATCGCAGTCTGGGCTTGCTGACCCGCCATCACAGAGCATCAAACAGAGTCCAATGCAGTGTGACTACTTGTAAAGTTGGAGATGTAGCAGGGAGCAAGAGTCGCATAAGCCGATGTCTCCTCTGTAGTGCCGGTTCCTGTCCCATGCGGAATGACACCAGCTGAACTTCACCTCCTATCCCGGCTAGCAGCCTCCAGAGTGGGGCCAGCAGCAGGAATGAAGAGGTCTTTGGGTCAGTGTGAAGCAATACACTGGGCATAATAGTACAGGGCTGCTTTCACACTGACGTGCTGCGGTTTACCCACACCATGGGTGCAGTGCAGTGTACCTGCAGCTTTCCTGCAGGTTTGCTGTGCTTAACCATAGACTTCTATTATATCCTGAGAACAGGGGCGGACTGACAACTCATGGGGCCCCCGGGCAATAGGGGATCATGGGGCCCCTGCGTCCTTGCCCAAACTCAAAAAAGCCTATGAAAAAGGTCCCAGGGGCATCTCATGGGTCCCCCTACTGACCCCGGGCCCTCGGGTAGCACCCGAGTTTCCAAATGGTTAGTCCACCCCTGCCAATGGCCCTAGTGCTGCCAGGCGGACATGCTAACCATTTAGCCACTGTGCTGCATCCTAATTTAAAGATAAATTAAAGCCCCCCCCCCCCATGCTTGAATGCAAAAGAGAACACATGTAGATCCTGAACGTATGCAAACAGTGATCTTCCCCCATAAGTGAGTTATCGCCGCGAACGTAAGATCCAGGGCAGTAATTCTAACACCAGACTTCCTCTGTAAATCTAAAGTGGTAAATTTAAAGGCTTTTAAAATGTCACCTATGGATAGTAAAATTTACATATTTGGTATCTATTTAATCTGCATAACATCATCTTTTATATTGTACAAAAAATGCGTTAAGTACTCTGTTTTTCTGCATTAAAATTCAAAAAGGTGTATTTTTCCCAAAAAATTGCGTTTGTGACACAAAAATTTCAAAACCCACCAATTTATTCTCTATTCTCTGCTTTAAAAAATATATAAAATGTGGGAGGTCTAAGTAATTTTCCAGCAATAAGTACTGATTGATACATGTAAACAAAAAGTGCCAGAAAAGGCCTGGTCTTCAAGTGGATATGCAAAAAAAAGTTTTAGCTAGAGTTGGACTTACTGGTTACCTGGAGAACATTTATAAGGTCCATGGCTACGGATTACTTAGAAATCCAACAGGGCTGCACAGAACATTTTCCACATGAGCTAATTCCCTTCAATGGTTAATCCCGAGCTGGTAACAAGATCCTGAGCGTTCTACTGTACCACCTTTATTCTATGAAATTATTATTTACAAATAGTAAACCATGTTTATAGAGGACGCAATCATTACCCCGCATGTTCCCGCTTTATGTGTATCAGTAATACCATTGTCTGCCTGTCAGCCTTCACCAATGATAACAATCTATTAGAAAGCTCTTAAATGATGGACCATAGACATGTTTACAGGCAAAGGGATGCTGAGGATATTTAATGTGCGGCGATGAGAAGCATCTTGTTACAGCTCTGGTTTATAGCTCCAATATATCAAGCTTTATACCTAGCGGAGTCCTGCCAGGGTGGAAAAGAAATTCAGGCATGAAGAGTAAACTCAAACTTTTAAGGACTTTGGTGGAAAATTCTGCTTTTATGAAACAAATTCTAAATACCCTACAGTACTATGCAAAAGGTTTAGGGATGTGTGAAGAAAATGTACTAAAGTAAGGATGCTTTGCAAAATAATGAAATGACCAGAGCTTAAAGAGTACATCGGGAAACACTTTTCTTTTTTGAAATATCTGCCTGGAAAGGACCTTGTTGAAGCAGAAAGATCCTGTGTGCCTTGTGGATACAGCAGGACCACTCTGTGTCTTGTCCATACAGAAGGACCACTCAATGTCTTGTTGATACAGTAGGACCACTCTGTGTCTTGTCCATACAGAAGGACCTATCAATGTCTTGTTGATAAAGTAGGACCACTCTGTGTCTTGTCCATGCAGAAGGACTCCTCAATGTCTTGTTGATACAGTAGGACCATCCTGTGCCTTGTTGATACAGTAGGACTACCCTGTGCCTTGTTGATACAGTAGGGCGACCCTGTGCCTTGTTAATACAGTAGGACTACCCTGTGCCTTGTTGATACAGTAGGACTACCCTTTGCCTTGTTGATACAGTAGGGTGACCCTGTGCCTTGTTGATACAGTAGGACCACCCTGTGCCTTGTTGATACAGTAGGACTACCCTGGGCCTTGTTGATACAGTAGGGCGACCCTGTGCCTTGTTGATACAGTAGGACCACCGTGTGCCTTGTTGATACAGTAGGACCACCCTGGGCCTTTTTGATATAATAGGACCACCGTGTGCTTTGTTCGTACATTAGGGTCACTGTGTGCCTTGTTGATACAGTTGGACCACCGTGTGCCTTGTTGACACAGCAGGACTACTCTGTGTTCTGTTCATACAGTAGGACCACTCTGTGCCTTGTTGATTCTTCCCAATAACCACCAATGTAAGAAGCATTCTTCCCAATGACCACCAAGGTAAGGAGAATTCTTCCCATCAACCACCAATGTAGGAAACATTATTTCCACTGACCACCAATGTAAGGAACATTCTTCCCTTTGACCACCAATGTACGTAGCATTCTTCCCAATGACCATCAATGTAAGGAAAATTCTTCCCATCGACCACTAATGCAGGGAACATTCTTCCTACTGACCACCAATGCAAGTAGAATTCTTCCCATTGGCCACTAATGTAAGGTGCATTCTTCCCACTGACCTCCGATGTAAGGGGCATTATTCCGACTGACCACCAATGTAAGGTGCATAATTCGAATTGACCATCAATGTAAGGATCATTATTCTCACTGACCACCAATATAAGGGGCATTTTTCCCACTGACCTCCAATGTAAGGAACATTCTTCCCACTGTCCTCCAATGTAAGGAACATTCTTCTCACTGACCACCAATGTAAGAAGCATTTTTCCTATAGACCCTAATAAATTAATGTTAGCAGGGGTTCCTTTAGACCTAGAAATCATGTCAACGATTCCACTGAGGTAAAAGGATTGCGAAAGACTGCTGTAGCAGAATATAGTTTGTATGACTCCCTGTGATGTCACCACTAGGTCACCACTATGCATGACCCCCCCCCCCCCCCCCAGAAATACATCTCCGAAGAATCCTTTCCCTACACATGCTCTGTGGGCAGGCTCTTAGAATTCAGGGCAGCAACACTGGTTTGCTAGGGAAAGAAAAATAATGTATACACGTGGACTGGGACAGAGAGGGCTGGGGGATAGGTGGAGTCCTGTAGTTCATCAGTGCTGCATGGGATTTCAGTGCACTGTTTTGGCAGACCAAACAGGAAGCTATGAGCTCACTGGACTTCTGCCAGATCAATAGGTATTTTTCTGCACTTGCTACATATGCAAAGAGATAAAATAAGAGGAAATGTACATGTTGCTTTGCAGAGATGTACTGCAAATGTGTTTTTCAAGTGTAAGCTCACATTTACTAAAAAAGTATACCATGCTGTCCAACAGCGTGCTAAATTTACTCTCCGGCCAGTGCTCTCTTTCAATTCAAAGAGTATAGGCCGAATTCAAATGAAAATGAAGCACCCTTACCATTACCTACAGCCTGCAATGGCTCTGTCCTGAGTTATTGTAGGGATGGAGCAGCTGTTGGGACCAGCACCCCTTAGTGCCATTAAAGGAAGCGTGTTTGACAATGGTCTGTATCCAATAGGGATACACTAAAAACGTACTTAGCTTGAGTAGTAGTTCACAATTTCCGTAGCAAACAGGATTCCAGACTACTCAAGTGAGTGTTGCGGGAAGCCGGGTGCTCTCGTAGTCTAGCTATAGTCATCCCCAGGTGAAGTCTCTTCTTCGGTCTTGTGAAGTCTCCCCTGGCACAGACCTTCTTTGGTGTTCTGGAGCCCCTTCTGGCACAGGCCATCCTACAACCCAAGTCTTTTTCAACCCTGTGTTCGGTATGTGGCTGTGTTGTCTTCTTTCCTTGCCTCCTCCATTTCCTTATGACATCACTTCCTGTTTAACTAGCCTTTATGAACCAGTTAAACAAGTTAATTAACAATTGAATGGAAGAAGCTCAGCCTCTGAATTCCATAGGGTAGCTAAAATGTGTTATTCCATATATTTATGCTAAACAAAACTGCTAACATAGCCATGGCAACCAGGGGCGGACTGACCATTTGGAAACTTGGGCACTGCCCGAGGGCCCGGGGTCAGTAGGGGGCCCCCACGTGATGCCCCTGGTACCTTTTTCATAGGCTTTTTTGAGAGTTTGGGCAAGGACACAGGGGCCCCATGATCCCCTATTGCCCAGGGGCCCCATGAGTTGTCAGTCTGCCCCTGATGACAACACAGAGCCTCCTCCATTTCTTTTGACATCACTTCCTGTTTAACTAGCCTTTATGAACCAGTTAAACAAGTTAATTAGCATTTGAATGGAAGAAGCTCAGCCTCTGAATTCTATAGGGTAGCTAAAATGTGTTATTCCATATATTTATGCTATACAAAACTGCTAACATAGCCATGGCAACCAGGGGTGGACTGACCATTTGGAAACTCGGGCACTGCCCGAGGGCCCAGGGTCAATAGGGGGCCCCCATGTGATGCCCCTGGTACCTTTTTCATAGGCTTTTTTGAGTTTGGGCAAGGACACAGGGGCCCCATGATCCCCTATTGTCCGGGGGCCCCATGAGTTGTCAGTCCGCCCCTGATGGCAACACAGAGCGCTGTCCTGTTTCTTTTGGGCCGCACACATGCAGTTCACACTTTCTCTTGTTGCCTTTGATGAGCTTCTTATTAATGTGGTTTTGGCTTACAGTCTTTGAATTGAAAAGAATCCCTGGCTGGAGGGCAGGTTTAGGTTGCTGTCCCCCTATACTCATATGGCACAGCATATTGTGCGTTTTGGTTCAGGTGAACTAGCCCTTTAAATTTAGCCCAGACATACACTTTAAAGTGGTATTAAACCCAAGACCAAAAATGTAATATATTGCAGCTTAGCAATAATTAGATGCGGTGGCTGCATTCATTTTCTTTTTTTTAGGCTTTTTCCTTCTGTTTTCACCTGGTGATCTGGCCCCTGTATAAGAGCACCCCCGCTCTGAATGAAGGCACACAAGGAGCACTTTTGGACAGCAGCATTGTCAGTCTTGGGGGGGGAGCAGGGGCGCACTGACAACTCATGGGGCCCCCGGGCAATAGGGGATCATGGGGCCCCTGTGTCCTTGCCCAAACTCAATAAAGCCTATGAAAAAGGTACCAGGGGCATCTCATGGGGCCCCCTACTGACCCCGGGCCCTCGGTCATTGCCCGAGTTTCCAAATGGTCAGTCCGCCCCTGGGGGGGTGTGTTAGATGTGGATTTAGATACACTAACAAACTGAAGCCAAACTCCAGCTCGCACTTTATCGTCAGTTACATCAAACATTTTTTTTTCCTTTTGGGATACAGGTTTTTCATGAATAAATAAAAGCTGATCATTGCAAGCACCCCTGTCAGTCTTAAATGGTTTGTTTCATCTCTGTAACCGATTCATCTGGAAGAGAACATGTTCATATATCAGTGGTTCATATAGTGAACTCGGTGTAGAGTTATTCCCCCTGAGGTCATCACAGAGGACAAGGGGGCACTCTTTACGTCTGGAGGAAAAAAACATTTAATCTCCTAACACGAAAGGTTTCTTCACAGTGAGAGCTGTGAAAATGTGGAATTAGACTCCCTTAAGAGTTGGTTCTGGCCAGCTCAGTGGATTGCTTTAAAAAAGTCCTGGATTCTTTCTTAGATGCACAGAATATAACTGGATACTAACATTTATAGGTATCCGATTGCCTCTCCGGGAATCAAGAAGGCCTTTTTTTCCCAGCAGGAGCAAATTGGAACATGTTTTGCTGGTTTTTTTTTTTTGCTTTCCTCTGAATCAACTGTGGGTGTAGGATTATAACTTTTTTTTTTTAATGGTTGGACCTTTGTCTTTTTTCAGCCAGACTAACTATGTAATTTGAAAAACAACAGACTTGAAAAATAGTTGAAAATAGAAGAAAGAAAGCCTAAAAAGAAAAAGGCAGCCATCACATCTAAGGATTGGTAAGCTGCAATATAATAAATGAGAAAGCAGACAATGCTTTTGACTTGCTCTGAATTAGGGAATCCGGTGTGAGATCTCGATGGTGAAATAGTTAAAATCTGTCCTCTCCAGTAAAGAAGATGGAGGATGTTTGGATTAGAGCAGACACTGGTCAAGTCATAATGGAGATATATTAATCATCGGTGCAGCACAGCCAGGAGATGTGTTCCTTATTGCTTTCACACATGATGGTAGAGTAATGGGATTTAAAGACTGTGTTTACACAGAGTAGCTGTCAGTTTAATCAACACTGTGAACCCAGACACTATTCCCAGCTCTGATGTGCTACCTGAAACGCTTGCTTTTCCTGAAAATGGAAGAATAGATTTTGTTTATTAAAACAGTTATCAATTAAAAGGCATTTCAATGTTAACAAAAAGCATTTACTTAGCCCTGCACTAGGAGCTTGAAAGACAAAAGGCAATGATGCCCACAGGATTCAGCATTTCACTTCCATATTCGTTCTGCCACTAGTCACCTAAAGATGAAGTTTAATCTGCTTATGTTTTGCCTTCCCTGGTTCCTCCCTCTCTCCTCGATAACATGCTAATGACATTGTTAAAATACAACTCTTCTGTTTTTATTGCATGCCTTTTAATAGACAATGCCACTGGGTCTCTATGCTTCTCTATGAAATTATTATTATTATACAGGATTTATATAGCGCCAACAGTTTGCTCAGCGCTTTACATTATAGTGGGGAGACAATACAGTTCAATACAAGAGGGATTTGAGGGCCCTGATCCTTGGAGCTTACAATCTAGGAATCAGTAAACAAAATGTGCTGCACTCAGTAAATGATAACCTCAAACAAAATTACCAAAGTGCATATTATCCATAAATCCATAGTGAGCAGCACATTCAATGAGAAAGTCCACAAAACATTTCCCAGAGTGCACATAGAAAATGATGAGAGTGTGCGTCCCACTCCAGTGAACCAACCTCCGCCACCAATAATTCAGATGAGGCCAGGGGCGGACTGGCCATTCGAGCACTCGGGCACTGCCCGAGGGCCGGGAGTCAGTAGGGGGCCACATGAAATGCCCCTGGTACCTTTTTTTATAGGCTTTTTTGAGTTTGGGCAAGGACACAGGGGCCCCATGATCCCCTATTGCCCGGGGGCCCCATGAGTTGTCAGTCTGCCCCTGGATGTGGCATATTGGAAACACATGACCCTGAAACTATAGAAAGGTCATGGCATATATTCATAAGCGCACCGAACCCAAGGCACGTTCCAAGAGCAACCAATCATATATAGACGAACCCAGGATCACTTAAAGTGGAACTCCACCCAAAAGGGGAAGTTTTCCGCTTTAAGGCCTCCTCCTCCCCCCTTTTCTTTCACATTTGGCAATCTTTTTGGGAGGGGGGCAGGTACCTGGTTTTGACAGGTACCCGCTCCCACTTCCGCTCGGATTGCCTAGGTGATTTGAGCAGAAGTGCTCCTTTTCCCCCCTCCCTCCCTCCCTGCAGTCTTCTGGAGCACAGCACTGGTCCCAGAAGACTGCGGGGCCATCACAGCATGCAGCGCGGCTCGTGCATACGCAGTGGCTATGCGGCAGTAAAGTCGCAAGCTGTCACAGCTGGGTGCCCACAGCTAAGATGCCGGAGAAGGGGACCGAAGACGATACACGGCGCCCCCTCGGGTGAGCGCACCGGTGGATCCAGGGACAGGTAAGTGTCTGCTTATTAAAAGTCAGCAGCTAAAGTTTTTGTAGCTGCTGACTCTTAATTTTTACAAAAATGACTGGAGCTCCACTTTATGTTCTCAGTTATATGTATGCAAGGCCCAAAATCTGCTCCGAAAACCACCAACCAGGAACACTACTAATTGTTTAGGTCTCATTCCAGCCTTCCATATGACTGCACTCAGAAAAAAAAGAAAGTAGACCTGCCCCAAATTCTGCCAAAGAGTCTTTATTAGTAACTAAAATTGCACTCGCTTAGGTAGAAATGACAACAGCGTGTATACCGCATCAAAAATTCTGCCTCTGGGGACACTTCCGGTGCGTGATGACGTCATTTAGCGTAGCTCCGCCCATAATGCATGCATATCATGGCCTGGTGGGAGGGGCCAGCAGGATGCTGTACTTAGTTCCCTAAAAACATCACAGCCAAAAGGTCTGTTTTAATATGAGCTGTGAGAATGTGGATAGAGTTGGTTCTGTCCAGAGTTGGTTCTGTCCAGCTCAGTGGATTGCTGTAGGAAAGTCCTGGATTCTTTCTTGGATACACAGAAATATAACTGGATATAACATTTATAGGTAAAATTGATCCAGGGAATATCCGATTGCCTCTCGGGGGATCAGGAAGGGAATTTTTTCCCCTGCAGGAGCAAATTGGATCGTGCTTTGCTAGTTTTTTGCCTTCCTCTGGATCAACTGTGGGTGTAGGATTATAACTTGTTTTTTTTTTAATGGTTGAACTGGATGGACTTTTGTCTTTTTTTCAGGCAGACTAACTATGTAACTATGTAATATCTCCATTTAGTTTATAACATCCCGCAGCACCCTGAGTTTTTCTTTTGTGTAAATGGATTGAAAATTGACTTTGGATTGGTTGGCACAGGCTATAGCCAGTTGGGTATTTAGATTTTGTCCTGCCCTAGGAAACGCAGAAATCATCCCCCCCTTCCTCCACAGAGGAGAGAGCCTGACACCGACCAACACCAGACACCCCCCCAACCCCCCCCCCCCTCAGCGGAGAGAGGGGGGCAGTGACCAACAACACCCCTATCCCCCTCCACCTGAGGGAGCCTTCCACTAACACTCCCCCTCACATTCCCCCCTGGCGACAGAGAGAAAGACACTACAGCTCTGGACATCCCCGGGAATGACAGTCGGGCTCTGCATACACCATCAAGCATCCCGCAGCCTCTCTTGCATCCCACCTGGTCCCCGTGCTGCATATGTCCCTTCTTCCAGGGGGCAGTGCTGCCCCCTAAAAAATGCCGCCCTAGGCAAATGCCTTGTTTGCCTTGTGGTCAATACGCCCCTGTCTATTATTATTATTATACAGTATTTATAAAGCGCCAATAGTTCGCTCAGCGCTGTACATTACAAAGGGGGACAGAACATGTGACAGAACAATACCAATACAATGCAAAACATGAGGGGATTGAGGGCCCTGCTCTTTGGAGCTTGCAATCTAGGAGGGAGGGGATGGTGGCACAGGAGGAGATAGCGCTGTGGGGGATGGAGTGGTAGGAAGAGTGGAGGAGGTCGGCAAGTTAGCAGGGGGTGGGGTAGGCTTCCCTGAAGAGATGGGTTTTCAGGGTGCGCCTAAAGGAGAGGAGAGAAGGTGATAAACTGATGGGTTGGGGCAGGGAGTTCCAGAGGATGGGTGACACCCTGGAGAAGTCCTGGAGGCGGGCATGGGAGGAGGAGACCAGGGAACTAGATAGCATGTCTTTGAATTCTGAATCAGATTAATTCTGTCAAATCTTCTCTTCCACTGGACATGCAGTATATAGATATAACTGGAGCAGACGGACGTGGATGTGTTGCCAAAAGCAAAAGCTGATATTTCTGAAGGTCAGGTTTAAAAATCAAAACCATTAGAAGAGAATCATATACATGACAAACCAAAGAATTGAGTAGGAAAATGATGAAAGGC